TTTTCAGCGTATCTAGCCGAAGTTCGAGGGTTCGAATCCCGCTCGTGCCATTGACTTTTTATCTCAACTAAAAACCTTAATTAATTGTAATATATTAATTGGTCAAGCGGACCACGAAATTAGTGAAATTATGTAAAGAATTTATGAAATAAAAAATATGTAAGCATAAGGTCGTCAAGATAATGGGGGTTGTATTTAGTTCATATAAACTCTTTCTCCGGCTTAAGAGAAGAGCTATTACTCAACTGAAAAATCAACAAGTAATGTAAACAACCCATAAATATCGAGGCTTATTTTAAAATGCTTACCTAATCATGATTAGTAAGTTGGAAGTAGGTTGAGCCTTTCCTCAGGTTTCAGAGTTTAATTTACTTTCCATTTAAACGTTCATAAATTTTAGCTTTTTAAAAAAGTGTCTCGAGGCGATTATGTGGGAATTTTATATTTCCATTCTCACGTTAAAATTCACATCTAATTGGAACAGATCTGCTACCCCAGTTTATCAGAACACAACGAAAGGTTCCAAAGAGTAACTGGAACGGAAACAATAATCGCGCTGGGGAGTGCAGACTTGTGTTCTTTTTGGTGAGATACTACGAACTGGAGCATCTCGGCAGAACGGTGGTTGTTGTCTGGGGTCACACGTCTGGAGGCTAAGGCCGGGACATCCCAACCTCCGAACTTACCCACCGCGATCCGGCGTTCTGGCAATAAAATTCGTTAAAAAATCATAATGAAAAGAAGGGGGCAGCGTCGGAGAGAAACTCTCACGGATCAAGCCCCGTCGATAAGTCTTCCCCGGAAGATCTGAAACGTAGAAGGGACATTCTAACCCGATTAAGGATAGGCCTCACAAGGACTTACTTTTGCACCAAAGAGTAATTGCCCTGCATGTAGAATAGGTTGCTCGATGTGTCCCACCTAATCGAAGGGTGCATCTCCTTGGCTCCATACAGAGACCGTGTAGGATATGAGAATCGTAGGCAGCGAGTATCTGAGTGCCCTGTTCTGTTATTTGTAGGAAACAGGATTGTTTCTGGTATATAGTACTGATAGAGTCGCTAGCGTGTGTTGATAGTGAATGTATTTATTAGTGTAAATATGTGCTATGAGAGGACAGATAGAGGACAGATAGAGGAATATTGAGTACCCCATCAACTCAATTAAGTATATATGTGTAGATGGTGATGGAGAAATATCAAGTATCGATGGCTCCAACACCCTATTTAAGTAATTTTTTTTTTGATCTAGGATCAGATTGAGTTGGGGACTGAAATGACCTAGCTGTTGATGGCCATTGTAGCCTTAGTTTGGTGGTTCGACAAATAAGACCGATTTCTGACCCCATATTGCCATTAACCTTGGTGGATGATTCTCGAGCCCTGCCGGCAATTTATTGTAAATTACAAAAACTGCGGTGAACTGCGAGTGATAGACTCAGCCCTGTGTATATATGCTCATACATATGCAGATTTGAGCTTATATAAACAAATCCAAATTCGAATCCAGTTTATCAAAAACATTCTCGCCTTTGCCAGGGATGAAGAAGCTTTTGTAAACTATGTACTGTTGACGATTTTGCGTTCACCATACCTTGTTGTTTAATTTTAAATTGTAAAATTTCTATTCTCTTGTAAAATAGTTTTTCTGCCTTATCTTGTGAATATTGATCATTGATCCATTAAAACTTCTTAATGATGTCTTTAAAGCGTATCTGCTGTTTTGAAATCGAGTTGCTGTTTGCTTGTTTAGATAAGCTTAAAGGTCGAACTTTTCGTGAATGAAATTTCAACAAGTTTTTATTTGTAATGATTTACGTGACAAAATTACGATGACAACGGTTCGAAAATCCCACGGACCGTAACGACTTAGTTTATGTAATCGGGGCTGGTCGTTAAAACAAATGTTTAAATATTAAATCGGCCATTTTCGGCATAGCAAATCAAATGGTAATTGGCAGAGGTCGGATTTATATTTTCCTGTGAGGTCACGTCGCCGCGATAAATAACTAGACGAAATCCCGGGCGATCCGCTTCCGACGAAGTCCCCTTGTATAACTCGGAAATTAATTTTACTTCTCGAAATGTTCGTGAGGGTTCTTACTCAGCAATTAAGTGCCTGCGGATCAACGGGGTTGAAGAAAATCCAAGGAGCGTTTCTCACCAGCAGACCAGACCGAATAACAATTCGGTATGTTTATGCTAATCCGATCCCTTTCTTAACAGGAAAGAACAGCAGCGAAACAGTTGTAAGTATGATGAGATTTCAAACGTGAAAATGCAAATAATCACTGGTACACCCTATAATCAAATTAAGGTCCAGGTGGTGATGAAACTAGGAAGCGGGGTTTGTGTTCCCCAGGCACTGCAGCCTTCTGGCTTATTGTACCTTCCTAGTTTAGTGCAATAGACTCAATCCTTCTTCTCAGAAGTATCAGGACATTGACTGTCGCTGCTACAATTCATTCCCTAGGTTTTTTCTGTATGTTATCCCCGTTGAGCCTTCGCACCTTCGCATTCGAAGATGATCATCGTTATATATGCCCATGTTGTGTACAAGTTTTCTCAGATTCCAGTTTCCGGTAGTCCTATCACTCCTCTGAGTCTGCCCTCTCTAATTTCAGCAGTGAGTTTGCCAGTCTTAGTGAGGGTTGTTTTATTATAAGTTTACTGTGTATAGCGCCACAAGGGTTTATCCACTTCTCCTTTTGTTTTATTTGGATCCGGGACAAAAAGACAACCCACACTAACATTTTTGGTATATGTTGAATTTTGTTATTTTCATTATTTTTAAAAAATCATAACTAACATTTTTTGTTACATTTTAACCTTGGTAATTATCTGCAGTAAAATAAAATATCACTCCCTATAAATAATAATAAATATTAATTTTGAGGTAGGGAGAGTTAGTTTTTGGCCGTTACAGGACGCACATCGCTCAATATTTTGATTATCTTTTTGTGTGGAATTTGGAGTTTTTCGTTTACTGGTAAGTTAATTGTACTTAAAATTTTACATGTTCGCTTACTTCTCATGTAAGGCTGAAAAAATTTCTAAGAAAGGTACAGGAAGCGGATGCATTGTCATTTTTGTACAATCTAATTCGTGTAATGATATTTCTTTGAGTTATTCCTCCAGTACACCTTTAATATTTAGCTAAATTATTAAGCATTTTAATATCCTACTACGGACGTTTTACTTCAAACCTAACCCCATAGTGCAGGAGATAAACAGTATATTTTCCTTAATAGAGAATTTACTGATAAACTATTCAGATTTTCAGTATATTAGGTAGAGACAGAAAAGTAGGAACTCTCATGTCCCTTGACGAATACCTCTTGTGATACTATATTTTCACAAGAATGACATGGACTCTACTGTACATCATAAGGGAAAATGACGAACTAGGTTTATGGAAGAAAATGGATTTTTGTCGCCCTATGATTCACCTACTAATTTCTCCACGCTAGGCAGGAGTGTAATTGACCTGGTTTGGGTTAACTATCGCTCACTCCCGATCTTTGATGATTTTCTTGTTGTTGATATTGCTAACATATCAGACCACATATTTTTCCCACTCCTCTTTAATTTAATCGATCGGCCACTACCAGATCAACGAACCTGCCATCTTTGTTACAAATATCGCATTTTTTGAACATTCAATTATATACGTGTAAGGGTATACATATAATACTTTCTTACATAAAAATTATTATACACCAACTTGTACATTTAGTTTGTATTAATTGCCATGTAAACATTAATCATACCCTAGAACAGCAGCTTGGGTGCGTTCCCATCGATTAAAACTTGTAAAGTAATCAAGAAAATTGATGACTCAGCTTTGGCACTTGGATATACTTTGTAAACTATCTTATTTTGAAATCCTACCAAATTGACGCTGCTTCAGAGTGAGGTACGCCAATGAGCTTTTCGAAATCAGGCAGCGTCCTACAAGGGAGCATTTTTTTGTCTCATCCTTTATATCATACATACTGCTCATCTACCTGCATACCGTACACCATCATACTCCCTACGCGGACGTTACCGCAATTTAGTCTTCTAATTCGAATCCTGTTCAAGCTACCTCGAACATTTGTATGTTCTTGTGAACACCTTGAGCTTATCTAAAACTGGATTGGGGGACAAGATTGACTGAAAAATGTACTCAGTGTTCATATTTTAAAAAAACAATAACAGCCCTACACTATACATCAACAACAAAGAGATACCGATTTCCATTCATATAGATACTTAGGACCATACCTAGACAGCAGACTGACGTGGAACCCTCATATAAGACTTAAAAGATAACAACTTAACATAAGACTTGAACAACTACAGACTTTTAGGACCGAAATCTGTCATGATCGTCAACATTAAACTAGCCCTATACAAGACTTTTCTGCGACCACTTTAGACCTACGGGGTGGAACTGTGGACGACGCCAACCAACCTTCTGCACACCCGATTCTTCCAATCAAAAATTCTCAGAAAAATCGTCAAAGAACTGATCTGATCCTGATTCCAAAGTCTTAATCAACGGCCTCGAGATCGCTTACCTTAACCTCTCATACTGAATTCCAGTATTTGGTGGTTTCTCATTTGACATGCTATGCTAGCATAAGTGTTGGCACTATAACTATGTGAACAAACGTTAAGTGACCAGATGTACTGAACTAATTTGTATTGGGTAAAAAACGTAGTATTATTTCTCTAATCAACAAAAACTATTACAAAATGAAAATTAAACGAAATTGGCTCAATTGTGCGATTTTGTGCAATAAAAAGAAAATTAAAAGAAAAATCAATTCGTGCAACAAAGGGAAAAAGGTTCAAAATTTGCTATAGTATGAAAAATAAAATGTTAGAATATGATATAGGTGAAGGAAGAAACCAAATGTTCAATGGCACAGAAAGCCTGTGTCTAAACGCAACTAATAAAAGAGACCTGTCTCAATTTGTGAAATACAAATAAAAAGGCAGATAAAAAATACTTACACGAGTCCTCCGGGCAGCTGACTGCTCGAGCGTGAACACCGCCAAGATACCTGCAAATCAACAATAAATCAATTAAACTCATCTGACCTTTAAAGTGCAGAGGACGGAATCTGTGGGAAACGGAATGTTTTATTTGCCCCTTCGCCGTGCCAAGGGCTTTTTGTTTTTTTGATTTTGTGTAAATGGTGCCGTGAAGTTATGAAATTGCGACACGAGCATTGGTGGAGACGTTGGCAGCTCTTTTTCCACTCAAATTAAATATGCGATGTAACAACCAAGCATTGTCTGATTAGCTCACATGAAGAGCAGAAAAGCGCGTAGATGCGTGTGAAATTGCGCAAATAATACAAAACCCGCCGTGCCCAGTTTTAATTCATGATAACCCGAGAGGGTTAGACAATAATTTTCAACCGTGTTGTTAATTTAACAATCAACGTCAAAACAATAGACATGAGTGCGTGGGCGTGTCGCAACGAACGGTGTAGCAAGGACGGCTTCAATGATTACTCATTACTCTACTTCCCATGAATCTAGGAGGGGAGAAAACCGGCCTTAATTAAGTCCGATTTTTTAATAATCGTGTTATAAACGCAAAACGCCTGAATTACGACCTAAGCGATTTGCCAGAAACAGGTCAAAGCCAAGTAGCAGTATCCATAGCACTTTCTATGCAATACGTAAACATTGCTTTATACAAATGGGGAGCATCCCCACTGCAAGCCTAACGCCTTTCAACAAAACAGTATTATTTAGGAAGAACTTCGCGAAGTTGGGAAAGAGGGCTTAAGTAATGGAGTTAGGACGGATAGAGAGCTTGGTGTGAAAATGAGATGTTGAGGTAGTTTCTGGATAGTGAGTCTCAATGATTTAGTAAGGATCCTTAACAATTTGTGTGCGATGTTTCGATTCAAAGGATGGCCTGGATATTGGATGGCTTGGCGGAACCCCACAGTTCCATTCCGTATATCCAACGTAGTCCCTGTATTGCATTACATAGTTATTTGATTTTAGAGGGTCAAATCAGAATTCAGTCTTAAAAGTCTTTGAAATTGTCCAAGCTTTCTGTCCTTGGTGTCTATTATGGGCAGATTCCGCTATACCTGTCTAGGTATAGAGCTAAGTATCTAACATGAGCTGAAGTTAGTAGTTCCTTGATTAATATATACTGTGAAGAGCAAGACTGTTTGATCTGTCTAAATATACATTGGGCGCATGTTTCCTCATTTAGTCTAGTTCTCCACTTTTGCAGCAGTCTTTTTAAGCCTAAGGGGGCTTTGGATGTTGCAGGTTGATTGGATAGGGTCGGAGTCAGAAAACAAAATTGTCACACATACCGCATAGGTGGTGGTGATGATGGTTTGCAGTGTCAGTTAGGTAGTATAGATAATGTACAGGATTGGACCAAGATTGCTCCCTTGTAGGACGACCGTTTGTATCGTTCTGATTTATTACAAATCACCTCTCTCTGAAGCAGCGGTCGATTAGGTAGGATTTCAGGATAAGATAATAAGGAATGAGTAGAAAGCATTTAAGTAATGATGGAGTTGAGATATATAAGAAAATCAGCAGTACAGATGGTCCAAGTATAGGAAATAGTAATGTCTTGTATAGAGCCAGTTGAGTTTTGATAGTCAAAACAGATTTCGGTGCTGAAATTCTTCGTAGTTGATCAGGACTTCTGGTGTTGTTGTTTCTTGTGCTTGGATTACACGTCAGTCCTCAGTGTATGTCTACAATTTAAGGTCGTTAATTAAAGCTTGAGAATCAGGAACAGATCAGTTCGTTGACAAAAAGAATGTTGAGGTCGTTGTAGAAAGTAAGGTTAATGGCATAGTAATGAGCTTTGACGATTTGTCTGAGGATTTTGAATTGGAAGGATTGAATGTGCTGGATGTTGGATATTCACAGTTCCACTCCGTATGTCCAAAGTGGTCGTGGTAAAATCTTTTAAAACATTACTTTAGTGTTGACGGTGATGACGCATTTCGGTCCTACAAGTCTAAGTAGTCGTCCAAGTCTTATGTTAAATTGATATCTCTTAAGTCTTGTGTGGAAATCTAACTGCTATCTAAGTATAGTTAAAGTATTTGATGTGAATGGAAGTCAGTTTCTCTTTTTGATGAACAGTGGAGTGCAAGACGTCTGTAAATGTATACTGAATATATTTTTCTTCATTCAGTCTTGCCTTTCATTTTTTCATTCGTATTTGATAAATTCGCTTGGTTCTTGGATTTGGGAGGTTGCCTGAATAGGATTGGGGTTCGTAGACCAAATTGTGGTATCATCCGCATTGGTAATGTCAACTGGTGATGATGATGATGAGACAAGAATGGTCCCTTGTTCGTCTAATATATAAGCATTCGTTGCTACACCTCAATCAGGAGAGGTTGTTATTTAAATAGAATTTCAGGGTAAGTTAACATGGAGTGGGTAGGAAGCGTTTTATGGAGGATGCGTTTTGCGAGACCCTATCAAAAGTTTGGGACACATTCAGGAACATCTTCAGATTTGTCGGTTCATCGTTCAAAATAAAATAAAAAGTGTAAATCTTAAAATTATATGTAAAAATAGATTTTTAATGGATACTTGTGGCTGAATGGTTTTCGATAGTACATTCGCTAGGAAGATCGTTTCGATCATCATTGAGATAGATATGACCAGTATGTTTAAAAGCACTTCTGAACAAATTTAGCTTGTGTAATAATCCAAACCATTATGCATCATCGATTTATGTAGCACTGGCCTAATTTTTCAGTTAGATTAGATGCAACAAGGCCCGGCTTCCTGATTGTATATTCACCAAGGGGTGCAAGCGTGATGCACCGCCGATAACCCATCTGCAAAACTTGCATTATTCATTTTTCACTCTATCGTCGAATCATCAGCGGCTGAAAAATCAGTATGTAGCCTCGATGATATTATCGAATCCGTGGTTGATTTTATGATCCGAGGGTGTAGAGAAAGGTCAGTTTTTTCCCCATTTATGACGTGTGGGATGGTGTTAGAAACGTCCGTGTCTTTCTTTCAAGACCTTTACCTCTTTGCCATGAAAACCCATCGTGATTTCTATGTAATTGCATTAAAAAGTCTAACACCCAGGTTGTGCTCGTCAGACGCAGGGGTATTAAAAATAACATTACATATCAAATTTATTAGATTTCGTGGTCCGCTTGACCAAATAAATTCTTTGAGATTAATTAAGCTTTTGGTTGAGATAAAAAGTCGAATCCCGCTTGTGACACTGACTTTTTTATCTCAACCAAAACCTTAATTAATTGAAAAGAAATTAAATATTAATTAAACCTGTATAACTATAAAACTATCCAAACCTAATCTCGTGTTGTAGTATAATAACCCCCATTGAGGACTTCACCAGCAGAGAAGAAACTTTTTCTGATGAGGCTAGGTCCAACAATATTATCGATACATATACGTCCGAACATTCTTGCCAAATACGTGCCATAGGGACATAATATAGACGGAAAGTTGATATTCCATTTCCCACAAAAAAGCGCCTGTACATAAATTTTTGGGCAATCATTCAACTTTTTGCCTTTCAAATGGCTGATTTTTTCGAAAATCACAAATATGGAGATAAATTTTGATATAACTTCGCGACCAAGAAGATACTTTACAGGCTTGTGGATATTCATCTTTCTTCAGGATAATCCAGATAACTTCATAGAAGTTATGAATTTTTAAAATAGAACACCGGAGAAGAAAGGAAAATTGTCCCTCCTTCGGCTAGGCAAGCCTAAAATATTTATTTTTTATTACTACATAAATTTGCATTTAAGGGCTTTATTTTTTATATTTTTTACGAGGGTTCGCAACAGCAGAAGTCATATAAACCCTCTGGGTAAGGATTTTTGAAAAAAAGCCTATTTGTAAGGATGTCGGGTTCAAATGCAGGGCCGCTGGATTCGAACCCGGGACCTTTACCTTACAGAGACGAGCGCCGTGTCAACGCCCAAACCGTTGCGGTCACCGACGCCCCTCTTTAAGGGCTTTAAAGGGTGCATACAATGAATCCGTTGGGTTTTCACTAGTTATTCTTTTTTGAAAAATATGTTAAAAGCTCGCGTATTTGTAATAGACAACTGGAGATGATTCATTTTCAATCAGACCGAAATGCGACAGGATTTTTGCGGATCAAGAAAAAAGTATGGGATTTTTGTAAAAATTATTTACACAATTTTGCCTTAATCCCATAAAAAATATTTATGCAAGGCTATTCACACAACCTATGTCCACTTCATGCAAATCTTGTCCAATTTGTTACAGGGGTCAGCTCGGTTTTTACTCCCGGTGAACTACAGCTTGCCACACTTCCATTGTGTGGCAACACCTGGATTAAGAGATGTTCATTAAACTCTCCGAAGGAAAAATATTCTGAAAGTTGGCAAACCTAGTCATTTCTATTCATTTCATCCCCCACCCCCATTCGAGCTTGTCCGTTGCGAAAACGGTTTTTGATCCTAGTAATTATTACTATTTGCTTTCCCTTGCAAATTGGAACGATAGCTCCTCTTCAATTTCACTGAGGAATAAACGGACTGTGGGATATTTCTTTTTTAACTCATGAACTTAAATCATGAATCATGAATGAACCAACCAGCGCGTAGGCGATCACATGCTAACTGATGCTCAGGTACTAATTACAGTTCATATATTTCTTCCACACCACAGATATTTGTTTCCCAACCGTAATAATAATTTCCAACCGATGCCTTGTTTTCCCTTGAATTTTCCCAGAAGGGTTAATCGGTGGATTTGATATTTGTCTATGATTTTGTGCCCGGGATAGCCAATGTCTCCTGATTTATTCTGTGAAAATAAAGTCCTTTGTATGATGATCCTATGTATGAGGGGGTGGGGTGGCCGCAACGGTTTAGGCGTTGATACAGCGCTCATCACTGTAAGGTAAAGGTACCGGGTTCGAATCCAGCGGCCCTGCATTCGAACCCGACATACTTACAAATGGGCTTTTTTTTAAAAAAAACCGGCACCCCGAGGGTTTATACAACCTCTGCTGTTGCGAACCCTCGTA